AAATGTTGATTTAATGCTGATTAATGATCTGTTACCACAAATTAAGCTGTTTTAGTGACAACATTAACTTTACCGTTTTTCTCCCCTATTTTTTCTTAACAGTTTTAAATTACCATGTATCACTACAGTCTAAAGTATCACGGCTCAACAAATTTAAGAGATTTTTTGTAATTAGTAAACTTGTCGGGACAGAATGTAATTATTGAATTATGGGATTCCTTAAATTTATACTAAATAAATATTAACAAGCGATCCAAAAACTTGCTATTTGGGCCAAGTTTTAGGTTGATCCAAGTTCAACTTCGAATATAAATGGGCTTTTATTCATTCTTCAGCTAGCCCAATATTACGAACACAACGATACATCTGTAGTCAGTAAATTTGGCCCAATATTACTAAATTTTCTGTTTGTTTCAATCTGTATGTCTTGCTTTTTATTATTTTTTGTCCGTTTAAAAAATAATGTTGATCTTTATCTTTTTATATCAACTCTTTAATTCAAGCCATCTATATAGTTTGTTTGAGACAACACGATTAAGGGGTGTTTTGATACATTTTACATGTTTTTAGCTTAAGATCACAAGATTAAAAAGTTTTTGTTTCTTTCTTAAACTCCGTAAAAATCATGACCAGACAAATAAATTAAAACAGTAAATACATATAATTAGAGACAACAAGCGGAGGGGTTTGAGCTGAATTTGAAAGAGTCAAAATAAGCAAACTCGTCCAAAAGTTGCTTTGACTGAAATGGACTAAAAAATGAATCGAACTCAACTCGTCCTATTCTTATTAGTTTTAATTTTTAACACTAACATGTCAAAATTTAAGAATGTGCATTTAGAAAAATTTAACAAAGTATTTCATAAACTTAATTTGATCAGATATCAACTTAAATTTTAATAAAATAAACTAATAAATAAACAGATCAATAATTAGACGAATTGTGACCAAAGGTGTCTTCAATACCAAATCCACCATTTCTTTTCTCCTAAAGAATTTAATTTCTTGGTGATGGCAGCGTCTTGTTAATGTACTATAATATATCTAAAGTATAATTAATTTCTACTCCCAACCATCCAAAATGAGTGAATTGTTAGGGTGTGACACATCTCCTAAAAAATAATTAATTAATTACATTAAATAAAAGGTCATAATTGAAGTTATCAACAATGATTATGGAAGGG